ACATGGACATGTTTATGTTTCTGCATTTAGACAAGGTGATGGACATAAACATGGACATGTTTATGTTTCTGCATTTAGACAAGGTGATGGACATAAACATGGACATGTTTATGTTTCTGCATTTAGACAAGGTGAGGCACATAAACATGTTTATGTTTCTGCATTTAGACAAGGTGATGGACATAAACATGGACATGTTTATGTTTCTGCATTTAGACAAGGTGATGGACATAAACATGGACATGTTTATGTTTCTGCATTTAGACAAGGTGAGGCACATAAACATGGACATGTTTCTGTTTATGCATTTAGACGCTTTTGTTCAAAGCGAATTACAAAGTAGACGCAAAGCTGTTTTTGGGGCTTTTAAAGCTGTTTTTTTGTGGCTTAAAAGATGTTTTGGGGGGGGGGGGGTGTAGAGCAGTTTTGGGGTTTTGAAGTTGTTTTGGGACTTTTTAAGCAGTTCTGGGCCTTTGAAATCTGTTTATTGGGGCTGTAAAACTGTTTTGTGGCTTTTATACCTGTTTTTTGGGGTCTTTAAAGCTGTATTGAGGGCTTTTAAACTTCTTTCGAGGGCTTTTGAAGCTGTTTTGGGATCTTTAAAAGCTGTTTTCTGGGGCTTTAAAGGAGTTCGGTGTGTCTTTATTTTCCCTCTTGAAGATCCTGCTGACCGAGCCGCCCATGAACCCGACCAAGAACCGAGAGAAGATCACAGAGGTGATGTTTGAGAAGTACCAGTTCCACGGCATCTACGTGGCCATCCAGGCCGTGCTCACTCTGTACGCTCAGGGTAGGAGGACCATCACACTATTCACCCAATAAGGGGGGGGGGGGGGGGGGGGGACCAGGACAAACACGAGTTAATGACAGTAATGCAACATGGGATAATACAATATGATACAATAATACAACAATACAATAATACAACAATACAGTAATACAACAATACAACAATACAATAATACAAAAATACAACATATAAAAATACAACAATACAGTAATACAATAATACAACAATATAATATTACAATAATATAACAATACAATAATACAATAATAGAACAATACAATAATACAATAATACAACAATACAATAATACAATAGTATAACAATACAACAATACAATAATACAATACTACAATACAACAATACAACAATACAATAATACAACAATAAAATAATACATCAATACAATAATGCAACAATAAAATAATACAATAATACAACAATAAAATAATACAATAATA